ACCGAGTGGGGGAGGAGGGAGGCCAGGGTTCAAGAGAGTGCCTGCCCTCAGAGCTGCCTCCTCAAAGTAGGAAAGCAGCCTAGGACTGGTGTCTGTCCTGGGACACACTGAGGGCCCGCTCTGCGTCTGTCCCTGTCCGTCCCCCACCCTCTGTCCCCTGGGCCTGGGCATCACCCCTCCTGCTTGGGACACCCTGCCCCTCCTGGTCTTCCAGGGCTCCTCAGGCTGCTGAGCAGAGGAGTGGCTTGTCTGTTCCCAGCTTTCCCGTCAGCTCATCTTCCCTGCAGCCTGGCCTCCCACCGACAGGCCTTCCCACTAAACCCTCGGCCTGCAGTGCCCTCTCTCCCTGTGTGCTGATTCACTGGTTAGCCACCAGGGCCTAGGCCTGTGCCCGCTCTTGGCACCAGCCCTCTGGGCTGTCTGTGTGACCCCTACAGAGCCGTCATGCTCGGGTGCTGGCCAGTACCATCAGGGAAGAAACCGGAGAGCCCCAAAGTCCCAGCTCAGGGCCCAGAGCAGAAGGCGCTTCCTTGGTTTTCCAAGCCAGTAAGGACAGCTGCCCAGAGGGGTGCTTAGGCCAGACTTGCGGCCACGGGACGTCCTCCTCCATCAGGCCCATGGGTCTGCAGGTCAGACAGCCGCGAGTTCCCTTCTCTCAGCATTCTCCGATGGCTCCATGCCTAGAGCCTGAGGCAAACAGCCCTTCCACACTCATGTGCTGAGCCCGTAACCCTGCCTGAGAGCCTCCGCGACCAGAAGGCAGCCGAGAACTCTCCTGCGGTTAGAAACTGGCAAGTCTAGGAAAGCATTTCCTTGAAATAGAATTATTGAAGCCCAGAAGGCATCTTGGAAGAAAATGGCTTTTCTTTTATGCGTGAGAGCACCTGCAGGTGACTGTCACCCAGCTGAGGAAACACAGGCTCCAGCTGGGGATGAAGGGACAGAGAGGACGTGGAAACTGTGAAGTCCCTAGAAACTGGGATGGGGTACACCCAAAAGGGGCTCCGTGCCCCAGGGGCCTCCGAGCGGACACTCAGGCGCATCCTGCACGTCCACCGGCCTCTCGCTCCATCTCGGCCAGCATTCACTGGGTCTTCCTTGCCCTGCAGGAGGCAGCTCCCGGACCGGGCCTTCTGACAGTCTGGCCTTGGGGCACCCCATGAGGTGGCAGAGGCCCAGACAGCAGTGCTGGGGCCCCAAATCCACAAATGGACACCAGCTTGGACCACGAGACTCTGTCCTTGCGGACCTCAGCCTTGCTCACCTCTAAAGGGTAGGGCTTCTGAGGCCCAAGAGGTGATCGCTCCACATGGAGAAGAAATGACCACAGCTTTGTTCCCTCCCAGGGCTTCCCACGGCGCAGCCCGCCTCACGAGTGGGATGGCTCAGCTTCCGGGTCCTCTCAGGCTTCTCTGGAGGGAAATGTCTGGCCTGTCTGGAGGCTGCCCTTGCTGGGGTGCGAACGCAGCCAAGCTCAGGGAAGAGGCGCCACGTGGCCGCGGATGCAGTAACGACCCGAGCCGCTGAGGATGGGCCCAGCAGGGAGCTTGGGGCTGCCATTTCCCAGGCCGGCCCCGCTACGCACTCTGACCTGGTCTGGGGCCTAGCACCCTCCTGTGGTCCAGCTACTCCTGCTTCCACCAGGCTGGCTGCTTATCTGCTCTCCTCTCTTGGGCACCCGCTGGCCCCCAGGCCTGGTACTGTGCTCCCCACAAGCCGTCCTGGCCTCTCCAACCCATGGGAAGAGGACCAGGAAGGGGAGCAGGCACCTGAAAGTCTGGCCCTGTCCTCATGATGTGCAGCTTTCTTTTTTCTGAGTGTCATTAGAAAACAAAACACACACACACAAAGCCCTCAGAGAGGGAGAGTACGTGAGTCACCTTTGTGGAAAAAGCCAGAAGATTACAGTGGTCTCTGTCTTGGACAACCCCAAGCAGGTGTGAGGTCCCTGGCCTGGAGAGCTGCCTCCCTTTTCTTGCCCAGCCATGATGCCTGGTGCCCATGAGGAACAGGCCAGCCTGACCTGCACGGCCCTCCTGCTGTCCCTCCCATTGGCCTGGAGCTGGGCCACCACTCTGTCACCAGAGGCCCACATTCAGCCGCAGAGAGGATGGAGGCCCAGCAGGCCTGCTGCTGCCGTTGCCACGGACGTAGGCGGCAAGACACCTACATGTGTCCGGGGCACCCTTGCTCTGTGCAGCTTGGCTGACGGGCAGTCCTGGCTCGCCGGAAAACACACCGTACACGCGCAGAAGCCGTCACGGGCCCGGCTCAGCGGGGGTCTCAAGGGTGAGTGGGTCACTTCTCCCCACAGAGATCTGGGACTGAGAAGAGAATGCTCTGGGAGGACGGTCACGGTTGTGAGGGGCCCCTCCAGGAGGCTGCGACCTCGACCAGGAAGGGAGAGTTTCTGTGACAGAAGCAGCACCCAGATGAGATCAGACCTGGGGCTGGCAGGAGTGGAAATCCAGGGGGACCCTGAGTACAGTCCTGTGGAGAGGTAGGAGGACAGGTGCTGGGACCATTCTCGGCGCCTTGTCTGCTGCAAGGGTGTGGGTGCAGGCGGGGACCTGCGCAGCTCTTGGGGGCGGGGGAGAGGTGGTAGTAAGTCTGGCACCGAGAGGCTGGAGGCAGGCCCAGTGGAGGAGGGCAGAGGAACAGCACCAGGGAGCTGGTTAGGTGGGAGGAAGTGGGGGCAGGACAGGCAGAGCAAGCCAGGGAGCTCTGCCAACAGATCCTTCTAGAAAAGATTCTAGGGTGCGTGGAAGAGGAGGCAGGCCCAGGAGCCAGGGAAGCAGCAGGGAGCTCTGGCAAGGTGGGGCCCGGGGGGGTCCTGGGAGGAGGTGTGGAGACAGGCCCAACCTGTTTGTAAGGCTAGCCCAGACGAGAAGCCCACTGGGGTCCTCACTGATCCTGACCCCCTCTGCTGAGGGCATGCAGCAGGTGACAGGGCCCGGGAAGCTAGATTATCCATCCTGCTGTCCTGAAGAATGTGGCAGATTTCCAAATAAGAATGGGTGGAGTGGGGAGTGCTGGGCACTGAAGTGCACTGAACCCCGTGTGGCCTTGCAGAGAGGACCTTCCTGGAACCACCACCCACCCTCCCCAACTCCGGCTGCACTCCAAGTTCCTCTTTCTCAGGAGCTGGAAAGGTGGTCTGAGGCCTGGGCTGGAGGGCGGGAGCCAGACCATTGTTCCCAGGTCCGCCTCCTCCCTGAAGGGAAGTCTCTGTTCCCAGGTTCCTGGACTTGCAAAACCAGAGTGTACAAAAGGGAAGTGGAGTCACCACAAGGAAACAGGAACCAGAGAAAGGCAGGCCGGGCCAGCCCCCACTGGAGGCCCTGTGTAGCCAGGAGGGCCGGCCTGGAGGATCAGGGCCATCCGCCTGGCTCCAGGTGCAGGATGGTAGGCAGCGGTCCTGGCCTAGACAGGACCCCCCACCCTGGTGCTCACCCTTTGGAAGGTCAGCTGTGACATGAGCCAGCAGCTTCTCGAGACCTGCATAGGCTTCACCAAACACCTGTGACTAGGGTTTAGGCAGGACCACCGCTGGCTCACGCACCAGACCCACTGACAAGGGGCAGTTCTGTGGGTGCAGTCGCTATCCCCTGGCTTCCTGAGTACCTCCACCTGCTTCCCGCCCACCTGTGCCACATGCCTGCAGCCCCCGTGCAGCGGGACCACCGGTGCTCACAGGGACCCACGTTCGGTTTGCACAGGGCATGGGTGAGTCCATCCTGAGGCGGGCATGTGGCTGTCCAGTGGCCTCAGTGATGGTGGCGTCACCCCAGCACCTGGCCCCCCGCCTCCCTGCCAGCTGTTCCCTTCCCTGCCCTGCCTCTCAGCCCCATCCTCCCAGACGGGAATGAACACTCCTGCTTTGGCAAATACCACACGCCCATGTTTAGAAAACAAAGTGGCTTCCCCAGAAGAATGCTGGGACAAAAAAGCAAAGCTTGTCATCGTCAGGCTGACAGAAAGCCAACAGCTGGCATCCTCTGCTCGCATACACACAAGAACCATGCACGGACGCGAACTCTGGCTTCTGAAATCAAGTCAGTACGTTCTGTGTTTCCTGGCTATCAGCAAACAGAAACTCAGGCCTATTTCAACTGAAGACCGAGCACTGATGGCCACCGCCCGCTCTCCACACGACCTGTGAGCCAGGCCACACAGGCACGAGATCTGGGAAGGAAATTCTAAACAGACTGTGCTCCACGTGACCGTTTCCCAAGAATGGAGCCACTCTTGGCCCAGGATGGCCGCTCGCCAGCGGCCCTTCCCTGTGGCCCCACGGGGCAGCCATGGGCAGGCAGGACAGTGGCTCCCTGAGCCCCTGGCTGGGAGGGGACACGGCCAGTGGCCACTGGCCGGCAGCTCCACTGTAGCCGTGCTCAGGCCAGCTGTGGGTGCCACAGCGACACAGGGAAGACACCCGCCCTTCTTCCTGCCAGTCCCGAACCTGTCCTCAGCCATTGCTGCCCCTTCAAAGAGCCCTGGGGCCCGTGCTGCAGGGCCGGCGGCCACAGCCCCTTTCCATGGAGACTCCGTGTGGCCTCTGGTTCTGTCCTAAGTTGCCTCTCAGTTTCCTTGCTCAAGGGAAAGAGGAACTTGTCACTGCACACGCCCTACACCCCGAGTGTCAGGAACGGCCATGTGGGCTCTGGGCAAGACTTGCCGCACCTGCCCCATCACTCGGCATGGGCTGGGGTTTAGGGGGAAGGAACCTGGCACTCCTGGAACTGGTGCGACGGGGCAGGAGCCCGACCAGACGGTGCCGGCCCTTCCAGGCACAGCCCTCGTTCTGCGGATCTGGCTGTAAACAGAGATAGGGAGGGGCCGCTGGGCCTGCCAAGGGAGGCCGACACTGAGCGATTTATTGGAGGAAAACAAGTGGCTTCCACGCCGGGCACGGAGTGCGCACAGGCACCGCGCAGGAAGCCAGCGCCGCGAGGCTGCCGCTGATAAGCACCCAGGGCGGGTGGGGGGTGGTGGTGGTGGTGGTGGTGGTGGTGTGTGTGCTGAGAAGCACAGGATCCTCCCTGTCGTCCATGCTGCCGTGTTGTTCACGGGGTCTGCGGTCCAGGCGCACAGACACGGGGCGCTTAGGATAGAGGTAAGCAGCCTGAGGCACGGGTGCGGCTGCGGGCAACTCAGGGTGATGCTAGGGACAGGCTGCGGGAGGGAGGGCTGAGGGCCCCGCACAAGCCTGGGGCAGGCCTGAGGGAGGATGGGCTCTGTCAGAACAGGAGTGTGGCTCCTCAGGTCCCAGCCGTTCCTGCTGGCCAGCGCCCCACTGAGCCAGTGCCTGTCCTAACGAGCTCCCCACAGCCTCCTCTGTTCCCTGTCCCCCCCACTCACTGTTGGAGCCATGGTTCAGCACGGAGGAGCCTCAGAACAGAGAAGAGGCCACATTGTTGAAACATCCCCAGCCAGCTCGGGAGGCCTTCAGGAAGGAGAAGGAGAGCGGAAACCGGCCATGTAATCAGCTAGAAGATGACTCCCCTTCCCAGCTCCCTGTGGAACCCAGTGCCTTGGCTGTGGGACACACGTACCACCCGCCCAGGGCTCCCACCTTCTCCCCCAGAATCCGGCCCCCGGGGTGCAGAGTGCCCACCAGGGCCATAGGCTGAGGAGCACTGTCCAGACTTTAGGGCCGAGCCCACACTGTGGGTGACAGTAAACACTGTAACAATGATGTAACCAATGTGGGCAGAGCCGGCCAGCCCTGTGCCCAGCCTGACCCTGAGTGTCGCTACTGTCTGACACACATCATCGCAGCTGCTGGGCAGCATTAGTGAGGCTTACAAAACACTCCCTCAGATTAGATGTCCCTGACGCCTGCACGGCCTGTGTGCCCACCGCAGTCTGAGGCTGGGGGACTCCGATGCAGACACACTCCTGCAGTGGGGGCCCCTGGCCTCCTTTTGTTTCCTTCACTGTTAACCCCCTGTCATCCCACTGGCCCGGGTGGGGCAAGGGTGAGGCAGACCAGTGGGTAAGGTCTGTGCTCTCAGAGCCCTCTTTCCACATCACCTCCCACCCCCACGCCAGGCACCGGCCTGCGGCACAGCAGCACGTGTGGCCAGGGCCTGGCTCCTGAGCCCCTTCATGGGCAGCAGGGCTGGCTGATCCCTGTCCCAAGGCTCGGGAAACAAATGTCTGCTTTGTATATGCTTGCCCAAGAGGATTTCTTATTCTGAGAGCAGGAGATCAGGTTGGACCAAACTACATTTTGAAAGTAAGGTTTTCCTCCAAAGAACTGACATTTGTGAAGTGTGTTCTTTCCTCACGCGGTGGGTTCTCACGGCCGGCTGTGTGCCCATGCCTCCTAGGCGCTGGGACACAGGCTGCTGGGTTGCACCCTGCCGGGGCGCTGCCTCAGTGGCGGGGTGAGGGTGCCGGGACCGATGGCCCACCCCTGTCTATCTCTCTTGGCATGGGCACGGGCGACTTGACAGGGCAGAGCCCCCTTCCCGGGCCCCAACGGGGAGCATGTCCCCCAGGAAACCCCAGGCTCCATGACGGTTCTCGTGGATGTGGCCTCACTGGGACCCCGTGATGGCCCGCTGGAGATGGAGGCATGAGCGTGTCAGCCCGTGGCAGTCTCCCACCTCCCAGTTCCGTTCACCGCACACGTTGGTGACACACGCCAGTCTTGCAGCCGCCCACACATCTCCCACGTGTACACCCGCGCCTGCTCCCGGGGCTGGAGGTGCAGCCTGCTGTTGCAGCCTGGGTGTCATGTGAAACAGGGTGGGTCTCGGGCCACCAGACCACAGACATGGGTGTGGAAGGTGTACACGATTCCCACGCATGCCGAGAAGGGTCTGGGCAAGGCTGTGGCCTGCCTGCTAGGCAGAGAGGCTGCTCTCCTCACCCGGGGGGCTGTGGAGGGTCACCCTGTCTCAGGAAGGCCCCTGTTGGCATGTGTCCCGGCTGTGCGGGAACGTGAGTGCTGTGCGGGTGCCACCCTGGCTGACAGGCTCCACAGTCACCTGTCTTTCTAACCCACTTTCAGTAAAGAGGCTGAGCAGGTGGGGGTTACGTGGACTGAAAGCCACACAGCCCAGGCAGAGGGGTGAGGCCACAGTGGGGGTGGGGGAGGTCCTGCAGAATGTCCCCTCCTGGCAGAGAGAAGCAGGGACCCAGCAGGAGCCAGAGAGCGCGCAGGGAGCAACTTCTCCAGCAGTATCCTGGGTAAATCGTCCATGGCTGATTCCTGCCGCCGCAGGCTTAGGGAGGCTCACCATGGCCAGTCAGATTATCGCAGCCTCGTGACCCTGCGGGCCCAGCTCAGGACTTAAACAGCCACGGGGCGGCACCTTTGCTTTCATAGGAGACACGCGCACGCAGAACAGAATCTGAGTCTATGACTGTTCTCTGCTAGTTTAAGGAGCGAGGCTTTCTTCCTGCACAACCTCTGCGTTTCTGGGGGTTCGCAGGCCTGGGGCAGTAACCTTCTCCTGCTTTCTCCCATACAGCCCAGCCTGCCGCCACCGCCATGTGGAGTTGCGGCCCACTCAACGGCACGGGTGGCACTGAGGACCACAGCCTCTGCCAGCACTTCCACCTGGTCCTGTCCCTCTTCTCTCTGCTCTACCTGGTCATTGGCGTCCCCATCGGCCTGGGCTACAATGCCCTGCTCATCCTGGTCAACCTGTATGATCAGAGCAGCATGACCATGCCCGATGTCTACTTCGTGAACATGGCTGTGGCAGGCCTGGTGCTCAGCGCCCTGGCACCCGTGCACCTGCTGGGCCCCACGGCCTCTGGCTGGGCCCTGTGGGGCTTCAGCAGCGAGGCTCACATCACGCTGCTGGTGCTGTTCAATGTCTCCTCCCTGGTGACCATGTACTCCACAGCCCTGCTCAGCCTCGACTACTACATTGAGCGGGCCCTGCCCCGCACCTACATGTCCAGTGTCTACAACACCAGGCACGTGTGTGGCTTTGTCTGGGGCGGGGCCCTACTCACCAGCTTCTCCTCCCTGCTCTTCTACATCTGCAGCCACGTGGCGGCCAGGATCGTCGAGTGCTCCAAGATGCAGGACACAGAGGCTGCTGATGCCATCATGGTGTTCATTGGGTTTCTGGTCCCCACCCTGGCCGTCCTCTATGCGCTGGTGCTCATTGCAAGGCTCCGCAAGGAAGACACACCCCTTGACCAGGACACGGGGAGGCTGGAGCCCTCGGTGCACAGGCTTCTGGTGGCCACCGTGTGCACGCAGTTTGGGCTCTGGACACCTCACTACCTGACCCTCCTGGGGCACACGTTGCTAGCCTTGCGGGGGAAGCCCGTGGACGGGCACCACTTGGGGATTCTGCTCTTTGCGAAGGACCTGTCAAGATTCCTGGCCTTCTCCAGCAGCTCCGTGATGCCACTCCTCTACCGTTACATCAACAGGAGCTTCCCTGGCAAACTCCGGCGGCTCATCAAGAAAATGCACTGTGGGCATCAGAGCTGCTCCCCAGACCAGGTGGGGTTCCAGCAGGTGATGGCATAGACAGCCAGTCCCGGGGCCACCACCAGCACTCACTGCGGGGTCACCTAGCCGCTGGCCGAGGGTGCATGCCCTTGAGGCATGACCCACCCCCCTTCTCGGGAGACAGGTGACTGACACTTGAGCTGGGTGCCCAGCACCATGCCGCTGTCTTCCCCAGGAGGTCAATGAGGCAAGAACAAAGGACAGCACTGGATGTGTTTTTGCCAAGTCTGCTGTTGTTCCACAAAGGCCTCTCTTACACCAAGGCCACGTTGTTCAAAGCAGCAGGGGCCTGGTGTGAAGGGAAGCTGCGTCAGCCCACCTGCTTCTGCCCAAAGCCCGAGCACGGCTCCATCCCCGGGGCCACGCCCTCAGCTTCCTCCACACCGGGTCCCAGAACGACGTGATGACAGTCAAAAGCCAGTATTTATACTCTGTCTTGCTACAATCCTTGATTCCCTCTTTTACTTTATTTCTGTCCATAGAAAGATTTGACAGAAAAGTCGCAACAGTATGAAAATGAAGGAGGCAACACAAAAGAGCACCCTCTTTGGACAGGTGGCGGTTGGCGTGACGGCTGCCGGGTCGCGTCGGGGCAGCGGGGAGCAGAGGCGCACGGTGTCACACACAGAGGTGGTGTCAAGATGTTTCCCATGGACAAAGCCAGCGGGGTGGCTGGTCTAAATCAAGAGTAAAGTAGCTCGTGGTTCTCTCCTTGCCCGTTGAATGTACCCACTACCCCTGCTGCCCTTGTGGGTGACCTCAGCTGACCTTTAGAGCTCGACTCCCCACTGTGGGCACCAGACGGAACAATAAAAATACACCGAAGAGAGGAAAAGGCAGTTAATGCTGAAGCTGGAAGGGACTGCCCAGGGGAGAGACAGGCCTGGACGACTGAGCCTCGTGGGGCGCAGGGGCGGAGTATGGGGCTACCACCACCACCTTGCCTGTCAGGTCCTCTGTGGCCTCTGCCACGGGGAGCCCAAAACCTGCCTGGATTCTTCTACACCGTGGCCCGTAACCATCAGCTTTACAACTGTGCAAACAGAAGGCCCTGCCCCTCACCCCATCACAATACACCCCAGGCCTGCAGCCCCTAACTCCCAACTCTGAAACCCACCAAACTCTAAAAATGGGAAGATCTGTTTTTCAGGTTTGCAGCAAGTTCATTTGGTAGCAAACCCTGACCTCCAGTGGTAGGAGGGCACTTTTCTGCAGAAAGAGGAGGGTGATTACGGGAGCCCTGCCCCAGCCCTGCTATCCCATGGCATGCAGTACATGCGGCGTGTTAACTGTGTGCACGCATGTGCAGAAAACCGGTCCACAGAAGTGGTTTGCTAAAAGGAAAATCATAAACAGGCACATTCCTTAAAATGTGGTTTATGTTTCAACCGAAAATTTCCTGCCATTTACGGCTACAGAGGAACAGGGCTGGGAATTGGTAATATGGTAACTCCACCCTGCTTTTAGGGCTGTGCATCCAGAAAAAAAACACCTGCTTTGTTTTTGGTCATTGCTCGGTAATGCACCCTATTTATTTATTTATTTTTTATTTTTATCTCTTCACTCCCCTTCACCCATTCTCCCACCACCCACACCCCTGGCAACCACCAGTCTGTTGCTTCTCTGACCTTGGTTATTTTTTTTTAAAGATCCCCCATATAAGTGAGAGCCTATGGTGTTTGTCTTTCTCCGTCTGACTTATTTCACTCAGCACAGTGGCCTCCAGGTGCGTCCGTATTGTTGCAAGTGGCCAGACTTCATTCCTTTTTATGGCTGTTGTTCCGTAGTGTGTGTTACATGTGTGTGTATGCCCCCCGCCCTGTGTCTTCTGTGTCTCGGCCATGGGGAGTAATGCACTGAACTTGGGGGCGCAGACATCTTTCCGGTTAGTGGTTTTGTGCCCTTCAGGTAAATACCCACAAGTGTGAGGACTAGATCGTAGGGGAGTTCTCTTTCCTTAACTTCTGGGGAACCTCTGTGTTGACTGAGTGGCTGCACCAGTTTGCATTTTCACCGATGGTGCACAAGGGTTCCCCTTTCTGCACATCCTCATCAGCTCTTCTCTCGTCTTCTTGATGACGGCCGCCCTAACAGGTGTGTGTGTGTGGGGGGGTCCCCCTCTGTGGTTCTGATGTGCACCTGCCCGGTGGTGAGAGGCGCAGAGAGCCTTTCATGTATGTGTTGGCCGGCTGTGTTCTTTGGAGAAATGTCTCTTCTGACCTCTGCATTTTGTAATCAGATTTTATTTTGCTACTGAGTTGTAGGGGTTCTTTATGTATCTTGGATATTAGTTCCCTAGTGGAGATATTAACATACTAACTTGTGATAACCTGAAAACTTCTGAGTTCTGACACATCTGGTCTGAGGATAACAGTGTGGCTCGATTTTTTGCTACATTCCATGCAGGGAAGTTGCTCCATTTGGTCCTGGTCTCTTGGGAAATTTAGCCCATGACTTGGTCGCCATTGTTTTTCCATCTGCAGAATGTATCCCCTCCAGGATGCTGGGATGGGACTGAGTGAAGAGTCTGCCCATGCAGGATCCAGAAAGTACACTGGATGCCAGGGCCCTGGACCTGCTCGGCCCTGCCAGCTGTGAAAGTCCAGACCGCTTCTGTGGAGCCCTGGCAGTAGATCTGGGGCAGAAGGAGACAAGTCTCCGGGTTGCTTCTGTCAGGAATGTGCTAGTTCTACGCAAGGATGCGCTCCCCACCCCACCCCCCGCCACTGCTGCTGTAGGTCTTCAGATGCACTGGAGTTTCTTTTCAAATCCTGAAAGCCTCAGGCCTGACCCCCTCCACCCTCCTCCAGCTGTGAGCTGAACTGTGGGTAGTCCCGAGGCCATGGCTCCCCTGGGAAAGCCTGGTGTTCCTAAGTGACCAGTGTGACGGCACGGGTCCCAACATTGCAGCCGAAGAACCTCCCACCTCCGACATGCCTGCTACTGCTAGACCTCTAGTTCTGTCCCAGCTGGGGGGCAGATCCAGGACCGGGGTCAGGCTAAGGTCCACCACACACAGCCAGGCTCTTGGATCAGGAAGCCAGCACTGTTATTAGTGGAAACGGGATCCAGCAGGTGGGCTGGTTTGTAGTGTCAGTGCTATTTCAAATAAAAAGACCCTTTTCCTTGCTTACCTGTTCTGCTCTTTGCTTGAGGAGAAAGAGCTCCTAGGAGAGAGGGAAATGCCAAGAGCATAGAGTGGAGGGGCACAGTCCCTCACCCCAGCTGGGGTCCCTCAAACAGGAGAGGGACCTAAAATTACTGATTTGTTTTCCATTTCTCAGTGTCTCTGGTTGCAAACTGGCTTGTTTCTGGTGACCTCCAGACCCCCCTTCTGGGGGCCCGAGAGGGTCCTGCCAGGGGTCCCTCCCCCCATCCCAATACCCACGTGTGCTGGTGACAGAGGGCCCCCGAGGCACGTGGCAGCCTGGCAGCTCTTCCTGGTGAAGCACAGGCCCAAGGCAGGATGGGGCTCCCGTGCAGACCCTTACCTCTAAGTAAGACCCCCACCACTGGTTCTTCAGCATACCCAGGTCTCACAGATGTGAGACACGCTCTTCTCCCTGCTGGGGACACCTCTGCCACCAACCGCACATGCTGCAGAACCTACTGTCCATTTCCCATTTGTTCATCCACATTCTTGTGCTAAATTCATCTTGGATCAATCTGCTGTGACCTGACACTTCTCTTTCAGGTATGGGAGCTTCCAGCGCTTCTGCGAACTTGCCAAAAAAATGGAAAGACTTTTGGGCTGAGAGAAGAATGAGGAACTATTTGGAAAAAGCTAAAGTAGACTGTGAACTCAATGCTAAATAAAGATTATATATATATTTTTAATTGACCAATCTATATTTCTCCCAGTGAAAGGTTATGTTCCAAGCTCATTAATTTTGTTAATTCACAAACACACATCTATCTTGCCATGCTTAAAATTCCAAAAGATGAGTTTAATCTTAGGTTTATTTTGTGAAGGTTATAGAATTTATCATAGGAAACCAGACGTGCTGCTATTTGGGGCAGACATGTTGATAAGTCAAACATTCATTCTTTTATAGAAAGCACCTGATAAAGGATAAACCTGGAATAAATGCGTAAGATGCTAAATTACAAGTCCTGTTCTTCAATTTAAAATCAGTTGGAGAATTTGGGGGCTTTTTCATTTCTCATCTGTTAAATCTTATGATGTACCCATTGGCCTAAAATTCTACATAAATGAGGAAGAAAAACCTGCTAAAGAAAAAACCCACACATTTGAAGATTTAAATTATTTGATACGTATTACCCAATTGTGGAATTCTTCAAATGTGTATTTCCAGGGGCATAGGATGTAGATCAGAACGTATTAACCTAAAATTGGCATTTCCCCTAGTGACACAGATCCTGCCATCTCTGGTTGTTTCTCTGTAGCTCCTCAGTTACAATGACAGTAATATGACCGTTCGTGGCCAGCCTCAGATGGTGGCAGAGTGCACCGCGAACACCACCATACAGGTTGTCCACGAAGGCCAGCAGAGACAGCCTTACAACTCTTGCAAATGTTACTCTTCCCTGAGAATAAAAATTTAAAGATTGCTGACCACATCCTGAGGGCTGAGGACAGAATGAGTGTCCTGGTGGCCCCAGCAGTTCTGGGGGGTAGTGGGGTGTGACCCCCTCGGCAAGTGGTCAACATGCTGTGCACACAATGAGCTCTCATAAAGCTGAAAAGTGACTGAGTCATCCAGGAATGAAAGAATTTGAAGATACCCATAATATCTTAATAAATAAGATACAGTTTAAAGACTTTTTATGATTTGCCTTGTTCTGTCAATCGTGCTGTAAGACAGGAGTCCTCAGCACAAAGCATCTGTTGAGTGCCTATTGCATTCTCGACCTTTCTCCTGATACTTAAAACCACTTAACAAGAGGCTCTTTCGGCCCATCTGCTGTTGACATCATGTGAACCTGGGAAATAAGACGCCAGGGCCCGAGATGCCGGGAGACCAGCCAGGACATTCTAGAGTTTCGGCTGACCAACCGTGACTCAGAACCACCTTCCAGCCTCGGAGAGCAGGCATGTTTGTGGAGCTCCATCCAGTGGCCGCCGGCAGACCTTCACCCAGCAGGGCGGCCGACTATGGGCCACGGTGCGCTGGGCCACTGGGACCCATGTTCGTGCCACGAGAGGGTGCTTCTCACGGGTTTCAGTGCAGATGTGGTTGGGGTTGGGTGGGTCACATTTGGTGATGTAACTCAGTGATTTTTCACGGCGGCTGAAATGCAGACAGCCTGCTACACATCCCCCGAAGGGACTGTCCTTCACAAGCTACCCCTGCAGACACAGGCTCAGACTGCACAAGGCTCACAGAATGCGCAGCCAACTGTGCCTTTACCAAGACACAGCCCTGGTGGCAGTGGAGACGAGTGCTCAGTCCGCCGGGTGTCTGCACCTGCATATATGTGTACGCCCACATGCACACACACACGCTGGCCACGCCAAGTCCACGCAGCCCCAGGTGGCCATGCTGGAGCCAGCAGGACCGGCACCTGCAGGGACAGTAGCCAGGTGCGGGCCCGTGACGCTGGACTGCTGTGCAGTTAAGGCTCGGCACGCTGCCGTCCACAGGGCAGCCTCTCCCTGGAATTTCTCATCTCCAAGTGAAGCTGAGCGCTCACTGCAGCGTCCTACACCTCAGGGAGCTAAAGAAGGGCCATGGCTAGAAAGGTACATAAGACACAGCCGTAAGATTATACATGCCTTCTAAAAACTGTTAGAAAAGTTTCCATCTAAAAAGGCACAGGTGAATGCTGGAGTCTGGAGGAGGGAAGCACTCTGGGCCACAGCCTCTGGGCCTGCTCTTTCTTGCATGGCCAGCTGGAAGGCCACATGGGTCCAGCCTCTGCCACTCAGGGGCTGCCCGTCGCCTGAAGCATCCAGATGCTTCCGTCACAGACAGAGGGGCCCGTCTCTGTGAGGCTCTGCCCGCTCCCAAGGCTCCAAGATCAACGAAATGCTTCTGCAATGGACTCACAATTCTACATGGTGCAAAGGGCACTCCAGAAAAGTGCCCGCCCCTTGTCCCCACCCCTCAGGAGGAGGAGCCCGCACTCCCCCCAAGCCTCTGTGGACACCTCTGACCTCTGCACGCGCGGCTCCTCATCTGTGAGGAGATGGTCTGCCAGACAGGGCTGACCGGGCCGAACACTGGGGCCCTAAGGGTAGGACTGCGCTCGCTGCATGGCTGTAGAGATAGGCCGTGGGTGTTGGAAGCCAGGTTCAGACCACAAATAACCTGAACATGGTTTTCTTCAGGAAAACATTTGTCCAAACACCCCAAGCAAGTCCCCCCAGAGTTTGAAAAGGCCCCGTTACTTGGCACTATGGGTTCACTCCAAGGCTCTCGGGTGACCATGAGGCCAGATGAGCATGGACTGCCTGTTGCGGCTCTGGCTCAGCTCCCTGTCCTGGGAGCACCTGTGGGCATGCCTGCCAAGGCTCCCATCGTCCCCCATAGTCGCGGAGAAACACGCTGTGGCCTGGGCTGGAACTGAAATGAATCAGTC